ACTCCGCAGTTGAGGCCTACCTAAAAACAAATAGCATGCAAAAAACATTATTTCGAAATCGAAACAGAGGCATTTTGCCTCAAATTATTACAAGCACACCACAAAAACAATCGAAGAAGAGAAAAGTTAGCAAGAAAAAAAAAACAATGTCAACAAACATTTGAGAAAAAGATAGAATTTGAGTACCACTAACACTAGATCCTATAATTTTCAAATTTGCTGCACTGTGCTGCTCCTCAGGCATACTGAGATTGTCATTCAGGTGTTCCTGGATTTTCGTAATCCACACTTGCATCAAATTGGGTATACTTATGAGGATTCCGAAACAGCCACTGGGATTCATTCTAACAAATTTGATTGCCGATATCAAAATCCCAGGGATTATAGCCTGAACCACTGCCCAATTATTCCCCTAACCAATTCGATCTAAATCACTTTTGTCTGATTCAGAGACAAGCAGCAACTTTTATCCGTGCAACATATTTTTTTAAGCACAAGCACAACATAACAAAACATGTACACATAGTATGCTTTTTATTTATCATATGCAAAAAAAGTAGAAAATTTGCTTCTTCGCCCAAGAGTTTCATTGCTTTTTTATGGCTCTCACCCAAATCCCTCAGTCAATTTTTACGAAAATGCTCCATTTTATGTATCACATTTCTAAATTTCAGAATCACCGCCCCACCCTCCCACTATTTTTCTCATCTTGCTCAAGATGAAACGCGGAAGCATTCGGAAATATTCCAAGCAAACTGCTGCTTAGTAGGAAGCTCATGAAATGGCTAATGTGAAAAAAAGCATACTTTTTTTTCTAGCAAAACAATTACCGAAATTAAATCGGAAAATGTTAAAAAGTACAAAAAAGTTACCTGTAAAATTTTCGTTTTAGAATAAATTATGATAAAAATAAAAAACAAATCATGTGCTGTGTGTATGTCTGTTTGTCTGTCCGTCCGTATCCATGATATAGTAAAAAAAAGCGCATCAACCGCCACAGTAAAGTTCTAGAGAGAGAGAAAAAAAACGAAGAATTGCATAAAAATTACTGTCACTTATGGTAAAAAATGAGGAATTTTGCAAAGCCGATGAATATGGCAAAATATTTGGAACTTTCCAAATTTTCCAAGTCTATTTTTTTCTGGGAAAAAATGGAAATTCTGAAGGAACAGATCTGTTTTTCCATAAAAAAAAACAACTGTACAACTTTACAAAATAATGAGATCATACAAACTATTTATGACTTTTGTGAAAGAAGAAAACATCAGCAACAGCTGCTCCAGCTCTCATTCCCAATGAAACTAGTTGGCCGATGTAATAACGACGAATAAATAGCTGGCTTTTTGTTGCCTAAAGATATCCAACAAATCGGGGCTATTCTTTTGCAGGAATCTACAGGCAAAATCGCATGGCGGAAAAATGTGCACGATGGTGTTCGGCGTCGGATTTTGCTGAAATCTTGTTATATTACTGTAGAAACCAGAACATATCTGCTTTGTTTTGCCAAAAGGCATAGCAAAGGCAAAAACAATGCTACTTTCGGGCTGAAACGTGCGAAAATTCCACTATACTGATGAGACAACCAATTCATCTACGATCCATTCATTCGTTTCGATGGTAAATTGGTAATGGCAGGCGCCAGAAAATCATACGCATAACCAGCTGTTTGCTTAAACAATCCTTGGAGGAAGAGAAAGCAAAAATGCATAGCTTTGTCAGCCGACGACTGTTGCTGGCACGTGTTACAGTCGAGCTAATTTTTACTGCCCCCTTCTTTCAAGAGAGTAAGCACGCAAGAGATTTCGATTTTTCACTTAGAAAATCAAGATTACGAAAATTTCACTCAGAAAATCAAGATTACGAAAATCTTAGAAAATCAAGATTTTACGACGGAAAATGAAGGCATTGAAAAGCTTGTCAAGTAACAACAGCTTGAACCTCGACTAACAAAAACGCCAATATTTTTCTCCTCGTTGGAAAACAAACTGGTATTCTAACTCTGATTTTTCACTTAGAAAATCAAGATTACGCTATATTCTACGACGGAAAATGAAGGCATTGAAAAGCTTATCAAGTAATAACAGCTTGAACCTCAACCAACAAAAACGCCAATATTTTTCTCCTCGCTGGAAAACAATTATGGTACTCTGACTGCCTTATATCCAGTATCAATTTGCAGTAAATATTTCCCTCCATGGCCTTCAGGCCTTCTATGCGCAGAAACATATAAGTTTAGTGAACGGAAAGGCTGAGCCGCTCAGAGGGTACTAGAGAACACAGTCGAATTTGTGCTAGTTTTTTAGCTCAGCTGATGCTGGTAGTACTGGCCCGGTAATCTTTTTTTTTTTTCAGTCAAAACGCTCTTGCGCAGCTAATGCTGTTTACTGGGTGTGGATGTATAACCAATGAATTCAACTTTTATGTAACCTCAAATTTGGGTTGATGCGAGGCGCTGCTGCACCGGTGAGCACATTTATACTTTACCATCAAAACGAATAAACGAATCATACAGGAACTGACAACTGTCCCAATGATTAATCAGAACCCTGGACCTCTGGCATGAGTGTGGATACGGATACATAACCAATGAATTCAATGTTCATGTAACCTCAAATTTGGGTTGATGCGCGACGTTGATGCACCAATGAGCACATTTACACTTTACCATCAAAACGAATAATCGAATCATACAGGAACTGACAATTGTCCCAATGGCTAATCAGAACCTCAGGCCTCAGGGCATGAGTAGTACACTACTTGAATGTCGTGTATCAAACAAGCAAAAAAAAAACAGGAAATTCAAATGCAATAACAACTTACGTCATTTCCGACATTACATATTCCAGCAGCTTGCTTCGATTCCAAATAGTCAACAAAACGTTCCTTGAGAACTTCCGATTGATTTTTGATATCTTCCTTGCTTGGCCCACATGATACGCATATCAACGCGATATACGAATGCTCATCCATCATTTTCAGTTGCACACCTAAAATAGTAAAAAGAAGGGGTGACGAAAAAAAAAATCTTAAATCCAATACACTGGGGTTTACGCATATGTCAGTTTATACTGATGCATAAAGTCAATGCTCTGTTTACATAACGTCAATATGCGTTTTTGCTGGCTTTAGCAGCGTTATGTCGAGAGGCTGTGTGTGTGTGTGTGCGTGTGTGTGTGTGTGTGTGTCCTATGTCTTGCGTTTCTGGTAATTGGCAAAGTCAGGAAACGAACGCTTGAGATGAAACTGTAAAAGTCAACACACCGAAAGGATATCTGGGAAATCGCTAAAGCCTTGTTAAGTGTTTCTGATTAGAGAGCAGCTGAATTAGTAATCCATTCAGAAGACGAAAAGTACTTCAAGAAAGCCGACACAAGGCTAAACTCTGGATAAAGCAGCACTAGTTAAGGCAGTCGGAAATGTTGCCAATTATATATTCAGAAAAACAGATAACAAATTGCGGTTATTAATCTAAATTTCCCAATTATATGCTTCACGCATGTTATTCGCTCTCTCCTCCTTCCCGTTGACTTTTTTATGCATCACAAGTTAAAGATGCAAAAACACTGCCTCCTCAGTTGAGGAATTTTAAGTTATAACAGTCTCATAAAAATTTTAAGCTATAACAATCTCTGAACTCCCAGCTTCACCAATGAGTGCAGTTCACGCGAAATTTCCCGCATTTTCCCTGAGTTAGCTTAAAAGGAGAGAACTAGAGACAGATAAAGTAGGATTGGAGATAATGGAACCAAACGCCACAAAAAAAATCAGTGTTTCATCCCTTAACTGTAAACACAGAAAGTGTTCCCAGACAAATGCGTTCCAAAAAGCGTTCCCAGACAAATGCATCATTGCAAAGAACATTAAAAATAGTTCCTTCAAAAATCGAAAAATAAAAAAAAATCCGCCACAAAACATACTTTCAAGTTGGCCTGTTTCCATACGCATTCTCTGATTGATTCGTATCAGTGGCATATGATTCGAGGTGGTTGTGAACTGATCCAACGAACGTTTGCACATTTCCGCATTACCACCAACCTTAACGAATAGAATATTACAGCCGAAACTTGAAATTTGGCTACAAATCAAAATATTCCATTTCACCATACATGTTATTTTACAAACGCGTGCGACTGCTAACAGTGAGATTGGTTCTTTTCCCGCAACAAATTCCACTTACTTTATGCATTTGTACTCGAGTTTCATTCGTTTTCAATGCAATAATTCCTTGCCACATTACTGGATATCGCTAAAAAAAGAAAAATATGAAAAAAAAAAAAATAAAGCGCCATATTTCTAAAAAAGCAGTTGAAAATTTACAAAATTCTCATCGAAAGTACTAAACCTGTCGGAAAAATAAGACAAAAATAAAACAGGGAATGTTGATATTACAAAAAAAAATAATTCTGGCTCCAAGCCAAATGCGTATTTCAGCAATAAATAATGCTAGGTAGATGTAGCGATATTAACATTACACATCAAGGATATCTTGAAACGGCTGAAGTTCTTCCAGCTGCTTCTTCCCGCACAATCGTTGGGTTCAACGTGGAATTTTACGGAAACAACTGCTATTTTTTTTTCACCCTATAAAGTTATGAAACTGCTTATCGAAAAGGGGGGGGGCATGCCCCTCAAATTTGTAGTTGTACCGCCCATATGCTCTACAAGGATTGACCAAAGGGGTGTTTTTTATCGTAGGACTGGATAAACTCCTAAACAGACAAAACGAACGACAAGGTCATTAGCAGTTCATTCACCCAGCGATACAATAAAATAAAATAAAAGGCAGTACGGGCCTCAAAGGTCCTGTGAGAGGAAATGGAGGAGAATAGTAAAGGGGCCGGAACAGCGGCCCCATCAGCGAAAGGCCAAAGTAACAGGAAGGGTGGAAGGGGGGGCAGGGAGGCTAACTAACCAAGAAATCATCATTCTTAATAGGAATGTCAGTGTTGTGGTAGACGAGGGTTGGTAATAAAAAACCTCAGTATCATGTGTGCCGGTATAAAATAACCCTATAACTGCGCAGCTGGAGAATCAGCCATGAATTATAACTGATCCAAGTAATAATACAAGTATTCCAGGAGATTTTGGCAATCCTGGAGGGCGTACTTAGCTCAAACTACGGTCCTCAAAATTTGCTCTGTTCTTATCTATTTTGTACCTTTCAGCTCTAGAAGTTTTTCGTGATCGCACCAATTGCGCTAGCCTTGGCAAAACTTGCCATCTTTTACTTTATTACCGCTCAGCGCTGCTAGAAATCAAACGAATATCAAGAAAACAGGCAGGGAAAATAATTTACCGCAATAACCGATGCTGCTGGCATGCTCGGATAAGCTTTAGCTTGCTGCTGCTGTTGTTGTGGCTGCTGTTGCTGCTGCTGTGGTTGCTGCTGTAGTTGTTGCTGCGGCTGCTGTGGTTGCTGCTTCATCAGGGGCTTAATATCTTGTTGTCGCTGCTGGTTAATACCGGTATGATACATGCCGGGTTGTGCGCTTAGCTGCAAACATGTAGTTGTAACATTTCACCAGAAATTCAAAAAATTTTTCGATTCACCAGAAATTCCAAAAGTTTTTTCGATTTTCGATTCTCCAAAATTTCTGCACATTCTCTGTTGCACTAGTGATCAGCTCAGAGGGTGCGATTGAAGCCAGAATAATTGGGGAGGAATGAAAATGCTGGTTAGGAGTTCAGGACGATAAACGTTGAATATCAGCATAATAGCAATGCCTCCAAAAACTTATATATATCCTGATAAAAATAAAAAAAAAACCCATCTATAATAGCTGGTCAGGTAGACCCATTCCCCTAAAACAAGTTTATTTTCAAAGTAACTTATAAAAGGGGGAAAAATTGATAATTCTGTTAGGTGGTAGCTTTTAGCGGAATAAAATCCCAAATTTTGCACCGATTGTTTTTGTAAGATCGACGAAAACAAAAAGAAAAAAATGGTTTTTGCTGACTAAAAAAGTGCCTGAAAAACTAGTTAATTCTTCTTAAAAACTGATAACTGGTCAAACTGGCACAATGAAAAAACGGCACTTTTTGAAAATGGGACTGTAAGGAAGAGGTCCTTCGTAAAATCTGGTCCTAGTAATAGGGAGCCATTCAAATTGGTGCCCTTCGGAAAATGGTACCACAAGAATGGTACCTGATGTCCAGGTAAGAGTGGTGATTCGCAAGGAATTGGAAATGCTCCAGCAGTAGCGTTGTACAGTGAATTCAGCTGTTGCGCAGCAATATTGGCCTGTTGAGATGAGCATAGAGTTGCCGAAGATGATGGCTGTTGATATGGATTTCCCGCTGCTGCCATATAGGATTGCTGCGCCGCTTGCTGATGCATATCCTGGAAAATGGTGAAATTTTTGAGTTAAAAACCAAAAATCGCATGCAAAAAGGTGTTGGTGCTGCTGTGCATGCAAAAGCAGAAAAACTAAAATTAGAACTGAGATTAACACTGAAAATTTACTCCTAAATGATAATACAGCTCATCACGGTCAAAACAAATTTGGGATGAACAGGCGATGTCCAAAAAATACCAAATGTGTTGTGGAAATTTTAAAGATACAAACAACAAATATCCTTAGCTAGAAGAATGGAAGAGGACGGGGGGCCTGAAATCGCGTCCATGTGTAAATATATGCAGTTTGTTTGGCGTTATTGGCCCATCGTGGAGAGGGACGCAATCGAATTTCGATAATTAATGAAAACACTGGAAGTGCCATTTAGATCTCCGAAATAAGCAAGCCTGTATTTAGAATACCAAAGCGAGACCTCTTAAATAGCCA